ATTGGGAAGAAATTCCTCCATGTCAGGGTGGTGAGGCCCTGGCACAGGTGGCCCAGAGCAGCTGTGGCTGCTCCACACTTGGAAGTATCCAAGGCCAGGTTGGATGGGGCTTGGAGCAACCTGGGATACTGGAAGGTGTCCCTGCCCATGGCAGTGGTGGGAGGAGATCCCTTCCATACCAAACCATTCTAGGATCCTATGATCTCCATGAGAAAAAGGGCCTCAGTGTTTGCTCCATCCTCAGACTCTCCTGGAGACAGCATCTTGCCCTAGGGAGCTGCTCCCTGTCTCCCTGTGCAGCCCCTGGGGACAATCTTGGCCTCCGCCTCCACCCATCACTTCTCCCCTTCCCCTGGGGAGCAAACAGCTCTATCAATAATTGCTATTTTGCCTCTCGGCATTATCTTCCAAAGCCTCAAAGGCAATTTTGTTCTGCACTGCAGTTCCTGCCCATCCCATCTCATGATGAGGCTGGATGGTCTTTGGTTCTTTCTCACAGACTTGGCAGCCAGGAGGGCTTGGGTCAATGCCCATCTCTGTGGGGAAGGTGCAAAAACCACCATCCAGCGAGGGCAAGGGAACATCTACCAATTATAGCCAGGCTCAAACTCCCACAGGCAGAGGAAACAAACCCAGAGTGGATGAGGATGGGGGTGATGATTGCCATGAATGTTTTAGTCCCAGCTGTTAATAAAAATAACAGCAGTAATAAAATTGCAATGATGCTGGTAATTGCTCTGGTGCTGATGAGAATAATAAGATTATTTATTAACTATGAGCCATTATCAGCATTTTCAAGTGCTTCTGCCTCCCAGACCATCCCAAACTCCAGCCCTATCATATTTATGCAAAATGAGACAATGATAAAAGATTTTCTTTATGGCATAACCAAGAATAATATTTGGAACAGCAATGTCTGTCCTTGTCCCTCTGCTAACTGTCCTCCCACCATGTGGCAGGGGTTGAAAATCAGGTGGGATCTTGCATTTCCACCCTTTACAGAATCAATTAGTTTGGAAAAGGCCTCTGAGACCATCAGTTCCAACCTGTAATTGATCCCTACCTTGTTACTCAGCTCAGAGCACTGAGTGCCACATCCAGACATTCCCTGGACACCTTAAAGGAAAATTAAGTGTAAAAGGAATTGAAGTTGGACTTGTGGCCTTTGGAGCAGCTGAGCCCCATGAGAGCTCCATGGTCAGACCCAGTGGATGGATGGACCTGGTAGGCTGGAGGAACCTGGAGCAATTTTATAGCTTCTGTCATTCTCCATGTGGGGCTGATGGAGACAGTGGACACAGGTCCCTTGGAGCGTATTTCCTGCAGCTGCCTCTCCCCTTGGCTTGTTGTTTGTTGTGGTGCTAAAAAATCACTAGAAAACTTACTCATTTCTTGCTGTGAGATATGGATTAGGAGAAGGGCAAAACAGGCTTCAAACTTAAAAGGAATAGTTTATTAACAAAACTACAAGGATAAGAAACCAGAATAAAACCTCCAGAAACCCTTTTTTCCCCACCATCCAACCATTCTTTTGTTTAAATGACAACATAGAGACAAAACCTGGTAGATTTAAACTGTCCCAACTTTGCTATGGTCTTTTCATCAGTCTTTGTAGAGAAAAAGAAGTTCTCTTTTGTCAATCTATGGGGTTTTTCACAAGAAACAAGAATTTTCTCATGGTTTCCTATTTCTCTGATGCCAGCTGCCCAGGAAACTCTGCCATCACTCCTTTCCTCCCATTTCACACTACTCTGAGCTCTGTTCATGGGCCATGATTCAAGGGGTGTCATTTGAAGGATGAGTTATTCAAAGGCAAAAATTCTCTTCATTTGTCTCTGTGATCATCTCTGGAAAACGAAGTCTTCTCTTTGTCTCTTAAGAGCCACAAATCTTCAACAACTCTCACTTCTCTTTTTCTGTCCCAGCATCTCGTAGGATCACAACTACTTCACCGTCTGCTTAGATCCACACTTTGAAACACTCCATCCCCCTCAAAATACTGTTTCATGAATTAAAGGGGTTTTTTCAGAACATTATTGTCCATCTCCATAGCTTTAACAAAAGAATATTTCAGCTTATTAATGCATCTCCTTATTCTCTTCCCATCTGAGGTTCAATTCCTTTCCTCACTAGCTTTGATAGTTTATGTTGTCTCTTTACATGCTGTTCACTCTCTCTCTCTGGAAAAAGGATTAAATCTGCAAGTCTCATCTGGGTAGTGAAAAGGTTAAAATCTGGCTCAAGCTGTAGTAGGTATTTATACAATAGCAATAGTAGGTATTTATGGTGCCGGGTTTCAGCTCAGCTGTGCTTAGAGCTGGGGACACCCCTGGGGAAAAAAGCTTCAGCCACCCCAGAGGATTCCCGGGAACTGCAGCAGATCCTGGCCCAGGCTGGGGCTGGGAGAATCCCTGCAGGCTCCATCCCCTGCCCAGGAACCGCTACAGATCCTGGCCTGGGCCCGGGGTAAATCCCACAGGCCCCATCCCCTGCCCAGGAACCACTACAGATCCCAGCCCATCCTGGGTTCAGGAGAATCCCCACAGGCTCCATCCCCTGCCCAGGAGGAGTCAGCAGAGCTCAGCCCATCCTGGGCTCAAGGGAATCCCCACAGGCCCCATCCCCTGCCTGGGAACCGCCGCAGGCCGAGCCCAGCCCGGGCCGGGCCTCATGGCCTGGGGAGGGGACAGGAGCCAGCTGGAACTCTGTTACCTTTCACAGCTGGAAACCAAAAAGAGACATTCCCAGGCTTAGGTTTTCAAGAGTGGTGTTCACAGGTTGACCTCACTTTTCAATGGTCAAAACCACTGTCAATTCTCAGAAATGGCCAGTTATTGGCCAGAAGAAAAACTCCCATCAGTCTCCAGCAGCCTTAACTTCCTTAGGTGTTCCCCATTTCTTAAATGCCAATCTGTCTCATTGTTTGAAAGAGCAACAAGCTGGAGATGTGAATGTTTTCTGTGGGTTTTTTGGTTCACCCACTTTTCTGTGACCATGTCACAGACAGGCTGGAGGACGTTGTCCAGGCTTGCCCTGGCTGCTTCTGCAGGTGCACCCTCAAACCTTGTGGGGCAAAGAGGAGCAGGATGAGCCAGGTCCTGCTCCCAAACGCTGTCAGGTGCTGCAGCGAGGGGTAGAAATGGATACAGATCATGGATAGACATGCAGGAAGGAGGAACAGATACGGATCATGGAGAGAGATGGATGTGTAGTGAGGAGGGAGGGACTCTGTGCCCAGCTGCAAGCCCTGGGACCATGTTTGGGGACCGTGGTGACACCGCTGCTATTCAGCAGCTTTGTCTGCTGGGCAATGGCTCTCACACAGCTCTGCAGGTCATGGAGAAACCAGAGTGGGAGCATGTCCAGCAAAATCAGTAGAAGACCCCAGAAATCCCCAGGAGTGAGAAATGTGACACAGTTTGCAGGGGTTGCAAAGAGGAAAGGAGCTGGGGCAGGGGGATGGTGCTGCTGTTTCTGGTGTTGCCCCCCAAGCTGTTCAAGCCTAGGGAGGTGGCAGTGGGGTGTCAGAGCTGGAGGGCACATCAGCCCTCCCCAAGGACCTGAAACCAGACATGGGGTGCAGGGGTCAGCACACAGCCCCACCGGAGTCTCTGGCATCCCTCTGCCAACCCCCTTCTCCCTCTGGACCATCCTCACCATTCCCTTCACTTGACCCCCACTTGGCCAGTTCTGTCCCACCACCCCTTGCCCTCCCCATGCCCCAGTTCTCCCTGCCTGTGCCTTTCCCAGGGTCTCCTGCCCTCTCTCCTCCCCACAAGGAATAAATCATCCTCCAAAGCCAGCCTTGGCTCTCAGCGGAAACAGCTGCCCACATTGTCACCTGCTTCCCGTGGGACCTGGCTGCTGCTGGCATGTGGTGCAGCTTTTCCCAGAGCACATTAGGTCAGTTCAGGAAAGCTGTCAGGGACCAATGGCTCTGGACTCACAGGAGTGATGTTCTCTCCTCCAGCCTGTGCCAGTCCAAGCTCCCACCTTGATGCCTTGCATCAAGAGGGGTCTTGAGAAGGGAGAGTGGGTTTGGGTCCTTGGCTGTATAAAAAAGGCCCAAAATACTCAATTTCCATCACAGGTAAAGGCTGCAGACCTCCAGCAGGGAGCAGGACTGTGAATCCAGGTTTGCCAGCCACCTCTGCATGGTCCCTGTGGTTGGGTTAACACCAGCAGCACTGAGAGACCCAGCAAACAGTCAGGAAAACATTCTTTGTTCAATCCCCTGTGGTGGAAAGCAATAACTCCTGGGCTGAGAATCTTCCCAGCCTTCAAAGAAAAGCTTTCTGGAGGGCCAGGGGAAAAATCAATCCAGCAGACTGCACTTCCCGCTTGGAGAGCTCTGGAGAGATGAGCCCAGCCTCGGTGGCTCCCCAGGGGCATCAGGGAGGGAGCAGAGCCTAGCCAGAGCACAGGTCTCCTCCTCCTCCTCCCGCCCCTGGCATCAGCCCATCAAGAAAGAGGGTTTCATCAATCTAAGTACATTAGGAGAGGAACAGGCTGTGCCCAAAGCTTCCCCAGGGGTCCATTAGCACCCACAGATCCTTCCTCCACCCCAGCACATCCCACAGGATGCTTTTGCTGGCGATTTCCTCCCCAGGCACAGGGCAGTTGTCTGGGATCTGGCAGGGTTGTTGCGTGGCAGGAGGAGAGGGTGAGCTGCTGCTCTGGGTGCAGGTGCTTGGATGGGAGCTGGGGTCCAGAGCACATGAACTCCCTCCAAGACATGAGGGCTGGATGCTCAGGCACATTCCAGGTGCTAATGCATTCCCTGGCTCGGCATCAACCCCCAGAGCTCATGGATTGTGTCTGGGGTCTCCGCCATCCCAGGACACAAGCAGGGAAACCAGTCTGTGAACACAATTTTCAGAACCTACTTCCAGGGAATGGAAGGAGGAACATCCTCCTATCAGCACAGGCACTGCCACTCCACCTGGAGCTACACCATCCCCATGGCTAACTCCTTCCTGTGGCTGTTGTCTCTCCCACAGGTACAAGAGTGTGGTGACACCGCGGCGGGCAGCTGTGGCCATCGCCTGCTGTTGGATAGTCTCTTTTCTGGTGGGACTTACCCCCATGTTTGGCTGGAACAACCTCAACAAGATGCAGAGGACTCAGGAGCTGAATGGCAGCCACACAGAGTTTGTCATCACGTGCCAGTTTGAGACAGTCATCAGCATGGAGTACATGGTGTACTTCAACTTCTTCGTCTGGGTTCTGCCTCCCCTGCTGCTGATGTTGCTCATCTACCTGGAGGTCTTCAACCTCATCCGCAAGCAGCTCAACAAGAAGGTGTCCTCCAGCTCCAACGACCCCCAGAAGTACTACGGGAAGGAGCTGAAGATCGCCAAGTCCTTGGCGCTGGTTCTCTTCCTGTTTGCGCTCAGCTGGCTGCCTCTGCACGTCCTCAACTGTATCACCCTGTTCTGCCCGTCCTGCCAGACTCCGCACATCCTCACCTACATCGCCATCTTCCTCACCCACGGCAACTCGGCCATGAACCCCATCGTCTACGCCTTCCGCATCAAGAAGTTCCGGACAGCCTTCCTGCAGATCTGGAACCAGTACTTCTGCTGCAAAACCAACAAAAACGCCACCAGCACCACCATGGCTGAGACAGGCAACTAGGAACTGGGAGAGGGCAGAGGGGGGACCTCTGTGCCCACCCAGTCCCCACCCGGACGCTGTTCCTGCTGTCTCAGGAAGGGGCGGCAAGGACCCAATGGGTTCTGAGTCCAGCAGCTCCCTGCAGTCCCCACAGCCATCCCGGGGGGTTATTTATTCAAAAGCATTGTACTGTTTGGATATCGTAGCCTGCAGTGTTCCTTTCTGGTTTAGGAATTTTTCTCCCTGTTTGTTTTTGTTTTTCATTTTTTTAAGCATTGCCAAGTATTTAAGGAAAAATTGTACAGACAAACGCGCAGTTTATCTTCATGCAAATAAAGCCTAGTGATCCAAACCACCCAGAAGGTGCCCTGCCATTGATGGGAACCCTGAGCTCCATGGTGCTGGTGGTGCTGGGGGCACCTCACACTCTGTCCATGGTGCCATGGGGGTACCTGGGCACTGGGACAAAGGGGTTCCCTTTGGGAGTGAAGATGTTGAGAACCAGAAGAGTCCAGAGCACTGGGATTTATGAAGAAGTTAAGTTTGAAAGTCCTTTCTTTACCCTCTGTAACCAGGAAGAGGCTGAGATGTGGGAAGAGATAGGAAAAGTCTTCCCATGGCATTGCCAGCACCCACAGGGTGGTGAAACCACCACCCCAGGAGCAGAGGGTCAGTCTCCAGCTCTCAGCACTACCAGAGAGGTGGGCAGAGGTGGGTATTGCTGAAACCCCTAAGCACAATCCCAGAGAACTCTGCAGAAACCTCTTTTGCTTCCCTGATGGTTCCCTATGGGTCCCAGCAGCACCCACTACCCCTGCAAGCTGCCCCCAGGAAGGGTGTCTTCTCCAGTGGCCTTCCTCTCCTTTATTCTAGTTTTGAGTCATTTTCCCTCCTTTCTCCTGGCTGTTTCATGTGAAAAGCATTGGCAAATTTCTCCCAGGCTGTTCATCTCACACCTCCCATGTTCCTCCCTACCACCCTCCCTCTGCAGCCAAACTCTTTTGACCCAAACGTTGTGGGTTAATGCAGACACCTCCCCAGCCTGGGGGGCAGAGGGGAACCCGAACCCCTCTGGGAGCAAGTGGGGGAGAACTACAGGCTCTCTATGGCTGCTGATGCTGCCACTGCATTTCGCCAGCCCTGAAGTTCAGCTGTGGGTAGATTGGAGGAGGGGGTGGCTGGAGATGGACCATCCCTCATCCAGCTCTGGTCCCTGTGGATGCTGGAAGTGCCATTCCCTGCTCTGCAGCAAGATCTCCAGGGCTGAATTGGTGGTGGGAAAAGTTAATTTGAGTTGATTTGCATTCTTTTCTTATCAGTGTTCCTCGTTCACCAAGCTCCCATTGACAACACAGGTCTGGCGACCCAGCCCCTGCCCCAGCAGGGTCGTGCCTCTCAGAAGGGATGTGAGCAGCAGGCAGAGTGACTGCAGCAAGTTCCCAGAGACTGAGGGTGCAGAGAGAAAGAGGACATTGCACGGGTGAGATTGATGGGTGATTTTTAGCAATGCTGGGACTGTGCAGCACAGGCACTGGGGCAACAGGGTGTCCCTTCTCCCACTGCTGCAGCAAGCTCTGTTTAGCTCAGAGGGATGAGGAGGGCAGCAAGGAAGGCAGGAGATGAAAGGCTCAGCCACCCACATTTTGCAGGGACCTTGATGTATTTCCAGGCTCCTGGCTCAGACCACACAGGGAAAAACAGGAGCAGAGCAGAAAAACAATGACAAGGAGAGGAGAAAATCCTTCCCTCAGTACTCATCACAGTAGAGGAGTCCTGAGCACCCTCCCAGCCCTCCCATGGTGGGAATGCTGCTGTGCTGGTGCTGAGCCCTTGGGAACCACAGACTTCAGCCCACATCACCCTCCCAGACATCACCAGTGACCTGGGGCCAGAGCTGAACCTCTCCCATGAGGCATCCCATGTCCCCTGGCTCCTCTGCCCCTGTGCCTTCTCCTGGAGAGGGCAGAGGGAAGCGCCTCAGGTCTCATGGAGCACCAATATCAGTAGTGCCTGAGGATGTTGCAACCCCAAGTTAGTGTAGAGAACACCCCAGGCTGTGGTCCCTTGGCACAGCAATACCTTGCATTCAGATTTGTGCTGCTGTTTGCCCAGCTCAGACTCCCATTTGCATCTTATTTCTGCTGCTTTTCTGGAACTGACGTTTTGGCCTGATCCTTGCTAAGGTGCCCAGGAAACTGGTGACTGGGATGCTCATAAATTAAAGGGCATGTGAATGGTTACTTCATTAAAAATAACATCCAGTGGATTTTTCCACTCTGTGCTCTCCAGACCTTTCCCGGGGAGCCCCCACTGAAAGTGGACGTTGTCGCCCACCTCAGTCCCCTGTGGGGTTACAAATGCAGTCTGTGCTCTGTAGGACTGAAATAAGGGCCTGGAAAGGGCAGTGTGAAGCATGACAGAGTCCTGGAGATCAGCCCACAGCCTGCTTCCAGACCTGGCCCTGAAAGAATCCCACTGGCCAAGGCCATGTGCCCAGGTGCCAGGAAGACCAAGGGGGACAGGACACCCCAAGCAGTAACAGGTGTGAGCATACCAAGGAAAACAAGCTCTCCACTTGCCAGCTGGGACTGCAGCCTCCGCTCTGTGGCATTACCACCAGTACCAACCACCTCAAAAATCCAGCCTGACCAGCAGTGGGATAAAATTAATCCGACAATGCCCTCCGATGGTGGAAACAACCCTGGTGTGGACAGGTGCTGCACCAGTGGTGAGCCCCTTGGAACAGCAGCACTCCCTGGACTTCAGCTTGGGCTGAAAGTGCCTGGGGACAGACAGGGACAAAGCAGAGGGGCTGCAGGGGACATGGTGCAGAGAGGGATCCGATTAATCATGGGCACTGCCTTCTGTGGCACCAAGGAGGGGATGGGCTCCAGTCTGTGGATGCCAGGCTGGATTTGCATCGACACTGGCAATGCCAGGACATGGACAGGATGTGGGGCTGGCCCCATGACAGAGCTGCCATGCAGCGGGGAGAGCTCCTACCCTCGTGCTGCTGATGGAGAGATCGCCCCCGTGCCTCTGACTCCAGGTAACCACGTGTTCCATGGGTCCCTCTGGACTCTGCTAACACCCAGTGTCCAACCTGGGCTGGCCCAGAGCTCAAGTGATAACTCACCCTGCACACCAGCCCACAGGGAGGAGTCCCCTCCTCTGGATAATGCATCAACAGGTCCTGTACCCACCATGAGGAGGTGACAGCTCCTGCTGGATCCACTGCCCCACTGGCATGGATAAAGAACCTGTGCTTCAATAAAGAGGCATTAAGATGCCCCAACATTGATGTGGCATTTCTTTTTCCCTAGCCAGAATCATTCCCCTGCTCCAGAAGGAAATCTTCCTGCATTCTCTTTCTCCTGTTGGGCTCCTCCTAGTTCAGTAATCTCTATATGTGTTTCACAAAGCTGGTCCTTCCTTTCCAAGCTCAAAACCCATCTTCTCCACCCTTGGTTGGGTGGGATCCTATGTGACCCCACAGCAGCCCTGGCACCTCTCCCCATCCCCCCGCCCAAGCCAACCCCACAATAAGCAGGACAGAGCGGTTTGGTGACTTTTATTAGACCAAAGCCCCTCAGCTGGGTTTGTTTCATTGTCACAGGCAATGACGGGTTCAGAGAGGGCCCTGCCATGGCAGGTGAGGTGCAGCCCCCAAAGCACTGCCAGGGAGGGACAGCCCAGCAGAGTGCAGAGACTATGGCCAGGGGCATCAGCACCTGCCCCACCACTGCCTGGCACCTGCAGGATCCATCTGGGAAAAGGAACGAGATCTGAATCCTGGAAGAGCACCAAGAGAGACCTAGTCAGGGATGGGTGGGAAATATGTCCCAGCCACACTTACAGCCCTCCCTCCACCTCACCAAGGGACAGGTTTTCCTCAGGTTCATCATCCCACCCCACTCACGCATCTCCAGCCACGGGACAAGGAAGACCTAAGCTGGGACTCCATCAGCTGGTGACACGGGCTAACCCAGGACACTCAGCCCACTCCAGCCCCCTAAAGTGATCCACCTTCCCTCCATTCTGGTGCTCCAACCCAGACCTACCTTGCTCTTTGTCTTGTCCTTTGATCTGTCCTCACTTGGGCACTGCAGGAGAGCAGAGGAGACAAAAAAATCCCTGAACTCCCAAAAGTGCCTGTGTGCTCACCCCAATGTGCACCTCCCCATCCCAACCCTGCACACCCATTCCTGCACACACCTGCTCCAAGCAATCCCCCACACCACCATCAATGTGTGCTCCTGCCCAATGTCCCCTGGGATCCCAGCCTGGTGGCTCCCAGGTGCTCTGTATCCCCAGCACACTGCCCAGCTCATCCTCCTTGGCCAGCTGGGCTGATCCCCCAGCATGGGCAGCAGGGCAGGGGGGATTCTGCCCCTGTGCCCCACTCAGGTGAGACCCCACCTGCAGAGCTGCCTCCAGCCCTGGGCTTCCAGCACAGGAAGGACGTGGAGCTGCTGGAGCGAGTCCAGGGGAGGCCACGGAGCTGCTCCGAGGGCTGGAGCCCCTCTGCTCTGGAGCCAGGCTGGGAGAGCTGGGGCTGTTCACCTGGAGAAGGCTCTGAGGGGTCCTTAGAGTCCCCTCCAGTGCTTGAAGGGGCTCCAGGAGAGCTGGGGAGGGACTTGGGACAAGGGTCTGGAGAGACAGGACGAGGAGGAATGGCTTCCCACTGCCAGAGGGCAGGGACAGATGGGCTATAGATAGCTATATGATGGCTTCCCCAGGTATGGGGAAGGAATCGTTCCCTGTGAAGGCAGAAAGACCCTGGCACAGGTTGCCCAGAGAAGCTGTGGCTGCCCCATGCCCAAATGTCCAAGGCCAGGTTGGATGGGGCTTGGAGCAGCCTGGGATTCTGGAAAGTGTCCCAGCCTGCGGCAGGGGGTGGGACTGGGTGAGCTTTGAGTTCACTTCCCACACAGACCATCGATCTGTGACTGCACAGAGCCCCTGCACAGCTGAGGATGTGCCTGTGGGACCACGGGACTGGGGCCACACTTCTGCTCCTGGAGGGTTGAGCAGCAGCTCCCACAGAGCTGAGCACTGACTCTGTGCCACACCAACAGCCCTGGAGCTTCCACAGCTTCCACAGCTGGGGTTGCCCAACTGGAGCCCTGCCTGCGTGGGAAGTGGGGCAGAGCATGTCTGGTGGCAGGACTGTGATTGGAAAGCCATGGGAGGGGAAATAGAAGTGTGTAGGGACACCTGGCCAGCACAGGAACATGCAGAGGGTTTGTGGGCAGTGATGCTCCCATGGGCCGAGGAGGGGCTGTGGGGAGCAACATGGGGCAGGTCTGTTCTGGATGCTTTGCTGAGGCAGGGAAATGTGAGTGGGAAGTGTGGGAAGAATCCCAAGACATGAATCAGAGCAGCCCAGGTGCAGGAGAGGAGGTTCACACACTCCCCATGCTTGGGACAAGAGCAGGGGCAGCCAGTGCTGGGCCAGGCCTCCAGCAGCTCCTCTGGCTCTGCCATCTCCGGCTTCCTCCAGAAACCTCCCTATTTTTTTCCCCATGAATGAGGAACGGTGATTTCAAGATGCTTCAAGACCATAAACCAAGAAGCCTAAAGGTGCAGCTCCACAGGGCTGCCCGATGTCCTCAGACTCCCTCACAACCAGGATCAACACAAAACGGGGACAAACCAAAGCACTGGGAAAGTGAGACCTGGAAAAGGCAGGCAAGGGCTCCTGCTCCTCCTTCCCCTCAGCCAATCTCACCTTTCACATCCAGTCTGCAGTCTACTGAGGCTTCCCCCAGGGGGTTCACAGCCTTGCAGGTGTAGACACCCCCGTCGAAAGGGCCAGGCTTGCGGATTTCCAGAGAGCACACACCCTGATCAATCAGTGCTATGTATTTGGGATCTTCCCGGATCTCCATCTGATTTTTCAACCAGATTATTTTGGGCTGAAATTTTAAAGCAGGGAAATAAATGAGAAATCCAACTGGCCCCCAAATGCCACCTCTCTCTGCCTCTGCCCTGGCCCTGCCTGAATCCTGTGGCCATGGTGGGATTCACAGTCAGAAGCATTTTGAAGATCCAAAACTCCCACCTGTGAGCCCTAACCACTGCTCCACCCTTCCTCCCCCAGCCCAGAGGAAACAGGGCAGGGCTTGATTTGAGAGCAGTCTCCCACCTACCTGCAGAAACACCCCAAACGTGCCCCAGTTTCACTCAGAGGGCAGTTGCAGCCCCTTAACCTCACCCAACCCTAATCCAACAGCACCAACATCTCCCAGACACCTCCAGCCATCTGGCAAAAAGCCCCCCTGGTGTCCCCAGGCCAAGGTTGTGCTGTCCATGGAGCCACCAACCTGGGGGAAGCCCCGGACAGAGCAGAAGAGGTGAGTGCTGTAGCCCCGGGTGGTCGTTCGGTCTGTCAGGGGCTGTGTGAATTTTGGAGGCTCCATCATGTCCCGCTGGGGGATCTTCTCTGGCTGGTAAGTGGTTTCTAAGGAAATAATTCATTCTAGCTGAGGCAGAGCTCAGGCTGCCAGGCTGACCAACACAGGAATTCAGCACAAGATAACCCAAACCACTTCTGCTCCCTCCTGTAAGAGGCCAGATGTCAGCTGGCCTGACCCAAGGACTTGGCCCTCAGCTCAGAACAGCCCTGCACAGAACAGGGGGGATGCCAATCCCCAAACCCACTGTGACACATCCTGTGTGCAGCAGGTGAGAGCCAGGCCAGGCACACTCTGGATCTCCCACTCCATCACCAAATCCCAGTCCACAGAAATGAGAGTCAGAGGGAAGCTTTGCAGATGGCAGAGACCCTACATCATTGTGTGCTACCAGGGAGAAGGACAGAAATAGATGGAAGGAGAGCAGGGCTGCTGGAGATTTGGCTCTGAGCTGTGGAGCCAAAGCCAGGGCTGTTCTGACCCTTCCCAGCTCCTGCTGCCATCTCATCCCAGGGGTATCTATGCCTTGGTTCCTCTCAGGGAGCTGAACGTGGCACAAGCTTTCCCCAAAGGAGAAATGAGGTGCAGAGGGGGCACAGGGGACCTCTGGACCTTGGGGGTGCTCAGCTTCACCCCTGCTGGTCTTGTCCTGGGGACCAGCCCAGCAGCATCAGCACCACTCTGAGGAAGCCCCGCTGGTCAGAACCACTCTTGGCTACCACCCTCCCCAACCCCTCAGCCAGGGACATGTCCCCACTTGTCTTCTCGATGTAGGCCACCCCAGAGGCAATGGCAGCGCTGTCACTGAGCCCACAGATGTTCTCGGAGAACACTCGGAAGGAGTAGGTGTTGCCAATGATGAGGTCGGAGATGGTGCAGCTGGTGCGGGTGCAGCGCTCCAGCACCGTGAACCATTTCTGGAAGGGAAAAAGGAGGAAAAAAGAGAGCAGTGAGGACAGACAGGAGTGTGACAAGGATGGAGAAGGTGTGGGGTGAGGCAGGGAGTGCAGCTGTCCCTCTCCCATTGGGGCATCACCAGCAGCAGGAGTGCCCAGGCTCACCCCACTCTTCTTGTCCGACTTCTGCACCCTGTAGCCCTTGATCTCAGAGTTCCCATTGTCCACGGGGGGGGTCCACTCCAGGGCCACGTTAAAGCCCCACACATCCACCAGCTTCAGGTTCTGGGGAGGCCCGGGTGGCTCTGCAGACACAAGCACCCTCAGGGTGACATCCCAGTTTGCTCCCTCCACATTCTGTACCTTGACCATCCCTTGACCTTGCTTTTAATCTCTTCTCACCCTGGTACAGGACACAAGGGATGAGAAGCTGCAAGGGGCAAGGTTGGCAGAAACTCTTCAACCCCAACCACAGCAGTTCACATGCATGGTCCTGTTGAGGATCCCACTGGAACAGGGACTGCAGAGTCCCTTGCCTTGCTGCTGTCACACCACATCCCACCCAGAACAACCAAGGAGGAGAAATGAGCCCTAGGGTGATCCTGCAGGGTCCCATCCTCAGCTTACCAACCACCTGGATGTCCAGGGTAGCCTTGTCCTCCGCTCCATTGATCTGCACAGAGAGCTCATACTTGCCCGAGTCGCCACGCTGGGCCTGGCGGATGTAGAAGATGGTGTCGCGAGCCGTGTTCCGGATGTTGATGCGCTTGGTGTCCAGGGGCTGCCCTCCCTTGCTCCAGCTCACCTCGGGTTGTGGCTTTCCCTGGAAGAGCAGGCAGGTCAGGAGCCACTCAGGCACGTGGTCCCAATCAGGTCCTCCTGGGAAGGATGCTGTGTCCAGGCAGCAGCAGCCCAGGTGCCACCTCTCCCATCCAGCAGTCCCAGGAAAGGATCTACAGCTGATTCCTGTCAGACTCACTAACGGGAAGCCATCAGGCTCCAGGGATGAGGCAGGAACATGCTGGCTCCACATGGACATCCTGGTCCTCATGGAGCAGCCCAGCTTTACTTGCCAGGGCAGAGCTGTGCTCTCCTGGCCCAGGTGCTGAGCCCAGCTTAGCACCAGGGCTTGAAGTCAGCATACAGGGAAAGTTAATGCTTGGAGCACGGCCAGCACAGAGTCCAAACTGCCTGTGAGACATGGCCTGGACAAGGCCCCCAGCTCAGGGACCTTTCACTCCCTCTGCTTGGCCAACACATTTCAGAGCCAGCTGCCACAGTGAAGATGTTCTGGTGATGTCCCAGACAGGATGAGAGAGATAGCTCCAGCTGAGCCCACCAGTGTCAGCACTGCTCCACCATCACACAGCCCTGGGGCTGCCCTCCTCCAAAGGCAGCTGGTCCCCACTAGCTGTGCTGTGGGGTCCCAAGGGATGTGGCCAGATCCTGGCTAGCAGCACAAGCTGAACTGGGCTGAGCTGAGACAGCAGCATCAGCCAGCCCATGTTCTGATGTCTTGGGGTTGTCCCACTGCAGCATCACCAACAAAGATGTAGCAGGGGAAAAATGGGATCTGGGCAGGAGAGGAGAGAGATTCCCACCCCACCACCCACCCTTGTCCCATGAGACACAGGGACCAGGCCAAGTCAGACTTGGCCCATGAGCTAACCTGCAGGAGCGAACCTGGAGTGAAATGTGCAGCAGATTGAAGCCTGTATCACAAACCTACCTGAAAGGGAATCATGATGTTTACAGCATCCCCCACACGCCTGATGTAAGTTTCCCGCAGGTGCCGAGGCATGCGGATCTTCGGGAGCTCTGGGGACCAGGAATTCATGTTGTGAGACAAGGAACTGCCATTCCTCAGCTGGCAGACCCTCCCCACACACCCCTGCTTGGCCACCAGGAAAATCCACCCCAACACGGCCCCCTTCTCCCTCTGATCTCCTGGCAGTGCTGCTCCCCTGCAGGGCTGTGCTGGCCTGTCCCATTGCCTGTAGCCCAGAGGAATATCGATCCCTGAGATCCCAGGGCAGCATTCCAATGGATCATTCACCCCACCTCGTTACAGCCAGACCATGGAGACAGCCTGGCCTCAACCAGAAGAGCCACAGCACAACCCCTATGGTGACAAGGTAGGGCACAGCATCTCCCAGCTGGGAAATATTCCTCCCCCTGACTTTCCAGAGGCACACAGCTTCCAGGGAGGACAAGGCCCCCAGAACAGTGCTGAAGAGTTCCCTGTGCAGTGCAGGCCACTGACACACCCAGCAGGTGCCTGCTCACACCAGAGCGTGGAAGCCTCAGGCTGGTGACAAAGGCAAACATCCCCAAGGAAACATAACAAAGACAAGCAAAAACCCCACCAGGGAATGTTCATGGACCGTGTCCCTTTCCCAGGACAAACAGAAGCTGTACAACTTTTCTGCTCAGTGACACCCAGGGATCTCTCCAGAGCCCCTCATAAAGGAGCTGGGAGTCTCTGCCCGGGTTAAATGAGTTTAACCCTGGGGAGGGGGCCCGGCCAGAACAAACCAGGTCTGAGGTGAGCAGCTGTGAGAGCTGGGGAGTGCAGGGACAGGCTGGCCAGTCTGTCTGGAAACAGTCCCTGCTCTGCTGGTGCTGTGATTCCTGCAGGGATACATCCCCTGGTGCTGCCACTCGGGTTCATCAGTCCCAGCTGGGCAGGGAAATCTGACCTGGGGGAGGAATGTTAATTTATGTGTGCCTCCCTCGTGCCTTGCTCAACAGGAGGAGGCTGGCCAAGGTCAGTGGCCCCGGTGACAAAGAGCCATGGTGGGAAGGCCTTTTTCCTGCTCTTGTTCCCAGCAAAATGTGACTCCCATGCTGATCCTTCATCTGGTTCCTCCTTGTCTTTCTCCACCTCCCAAGCCCACTTGTCCCACCTGTTGTTAAGCTCTGTGCTGTCCGATTGCTGCTATTTAAAATTCCCTGGGGTGCTATAAATGAACTGGTGAGATCTACAAAATGCAGGCCTAGAGAAAACGTCAATGCCAGGAGGCAACAAATGGGGAGGGGAGGAGAAGGAAGAAAAGAAAAGAAAAGAAAAGAAAAGAAAAGAAAAGAAAAGAAAAGAAAAGAAAAGAAAAGAAAAGAAAAGAAAAGAAAAGAAAAGAAAAGAAAAGAAAAGAAAAGAAAAGAAAAGAAAAGAAAAGAAAAGAAAAGAAAAGAAAAGAAAAGAGAACCCAGTAGATCAAGTTCTGTGTGGGTCTCTCAGCACTTTGGGTTTTCCACCTGTACATTTGCCTGGGACAAAGCTCAGGCAGAAGGGACAGGCTGTGGAAAGCACGAGCTGTGCATTTGGCATCTCATGCCAGTCCCTCACACCCCAGTTTCCCCAGTTCTAGGAGGTTTGGTGGGATGGTTTTGACATCAGAGGTGAACAGGCACAGCCACCACCCCAGAGCCACATTCACTTCCTCCGAGCACTCTGAGATTGACCCTGCAGGATCCTTTTTACAGGCTTAGTCTCCTCCAAGCCTTTTCCTATGAAAAGCTGCTGGCCCCTTGAATAACTTTTGTTAGTATTACTATTTTTGAGCAGCTGAAAAACCTGATTTTGAATAAGAAGGAAGCTTGAGCATTAATAATTCCTTCTAGAGGGGAAAATGAATCTGTATTTGCTGTTTGCTGAGTGCAAACTGGCCCTGCCCTCCTGCATCAGCCTCTGCACATTGGCATCACCCCGAGAGGAATGTGAGTCTTGCTAAGCATGGGAGCAACTCATTCATTAGCGAGTTCAGCATGATTAAAGTTCCCATGCTCCAGACAACTGGCTCTTGACTTCCTGAGCTAAATAAACAAAGCTGTCCAATGTGTGCCGTGGCATACTGGGGATGTGACAAGGGGAGGAGACATGCTAGGGGGAGGTGGATTCTGAGCTCTTGCCATGAAAAGGGAAAATGGGGCTCTGCCTCTTGAGTCCTTCACCCCCAAAGTTTCAACATCAGCAAGATGTTGTCAGGAAGCTTCTCCCAAGGGAACTGGGCATAGTCACTGAGAAAAACATCTGTCGAAGGTTGGATGGGACCCATGAGAAGCCTCGTGCTGCAGGGGTGGACAGAGATTCCCCACAGGAATTCTGCCCTCGGGAGCAGTACTCACGGAGGATCTCCCTGATGAGCACGGGCTGCTCCAGCGTGGCCGGGGCGCTGGCGCCGCTGGCACTGACAGCCGTCACCCGCACGTGGATCTTGTCCCCAGAGCTGAGGTCTGGGATCGTGTAGCGGGTGGAAAGAAAAGGCTCCTCGTTCACAGCTTTCCAGTCTGAACCTGCAACAGAACCAGCACAGCACTCTGGATGTGCCATGGACACACATCCCAGGCAGCAGGATCAGAAGGGGAGACCCCAGAGGCGAGGAACCCCTTCCTTTGAAATGTGGAATGGTTTGGGGCACTAGCAGAAAAAGGGACTTTGGAGGGGAGGTTGGCCACCCCTGCCAAGGAGTGTGGGCCATGAAGTGCTGGCAGGAGCTCAGCAATGGAGCACAAGGACGTTGGCAAGAAAAGACATCGGGCCAGCAAACACTTCCCAGCTGACCAGGTGCATTTCTGAAAGGAAAGATCCTTGGAGCTCCCTGCCAGCCACTCTGATCTTCTCACTGCCCCAGGACAACACTGGGGCTCACCATGGCCTCCACAAACCCCTCCACATTTGGCAAGGTCTGCTCAGGACCTGCCCCTGGCCAGATGGACCCCTCCAAGCGTTCTTCCTGTGTGTAAGGGACATCTCAATCTCAGCCCAGAGCCCAGCTGCACCCCCAGCCCCAGCTGACAGGGCCTTGCCATGTGCCAAACCTCTCAAGGTGTTTCTCACTTAGAAAATAAACTGCCCCAGACCCCCAGGGACTGGGTCAGACCTTGGTGGGCAATCAGAGTGACCCACATATGCCAGGCTGTGCCAAGTCCCCGTGTGCACCTTCAGAACAAGAAGGTTTTCTTGTTGATGCCATGGGAGCAGCCAGGTCCCAGCAGATCCTCTTTCCCTTCACCACTGGCATTGCTTGAATTAGCCCCCACTCAAATCTCACCATATTTTAGCCAACCAGAGCCTTGTTCCAGCCCAAATACAGCAGTCCTGTGGCCCCTGGGTGGTGACAGGGGGACTGGAGTTCTCCTGTCCTCCAGCAGACCCAAAGCAAGCCAGGAGAACACGCAGACCCTTTGGGTGGCTGTCAGACAGATCCCTCCAGGAATGGCTGCACCTTCCCTTGTCCCATGCAAGGGCTTCCTCCTGCATCCCACCCAGTTGTGGCAACCTCTCCAGCCCCAGCCCAATGATGGAAGCCTCCCACAGCCAAGAATGTGTCCATCACGTGTGCCACAAGCTAAACAGATGAGGATCAGGTTCTGTGAGCTTCATGGGCCACCTGGATCTCCCAAACCACTCCAGCCCAGCCTCCCCTTGCAGATCCCCCCAGCCACACAGACCCTTCACTCTCACCCCAAAGCCCAGCAGGGCTTCAAAATAGTGCCCAAAACACAAATCTTATCCACCCCAAAAATCAGTTTTTCGAGCTTGCTGACATAGTTTCTGAGGCCTTTCCCCGGACAGTAACTGTAAACATGGATATGTGTACATTCTTTCTGATACACATCTTTTGATGGACATCTCTCATGGCCAGTGTGGTTGGGAAGGTGTTGACCTGATTATCCAGTCCCTGGCTGTGGTCAGAAACCTATAAATTCTGAGAGAGAAAGTTCTCTCTTTCCTTCACCACACCCCGAGCTGCATCTGTGTGACTCGTTTTGTGTCCAGCTACAATAACCCACCCTGTTCCACCACCCAGCAATACAGCTGGAGAACCATGGACAATCACTGGACAACTGCTGCCACCTCCCAGCCCACCTCCACCCACCACAGCCACCCTCCTTCCAGACATAACGAAGTCTGCTAATACATGCCCATTACCCTTCCCTCCCTCATCCTCCCGTTTTATCCCCATTTCTTCCATGCGTCATTTTGGGCAAACACGGCAGGATTGAACTTTTCCCTCCTGTTTTCTTGGGTTACCATCCCAGCACCAGAGGGTGTGCTGGTCTCTGCTCCACACTAGAGCTGGAAATAGCAGTGACTCTAAACCTGCTCCAAGTGCCTGCTAAAGACATCACTGCTGTCTGAAGCCAAACCCTGTTCCTTCGTGGAAAAGAAATAACCATTCAAAATGCATGCATTTGGGCAAAGGAAGGAATTGTTTCTGGGGGAAATGCTCTGCTGGGTCCCATCCCACAACCATGCACCATCTCAAGGCAGGAAACACCAAACCTACTTCCATCTTTGCAGATCTCCACCACGTATCCATCCAAGCCTGCCCGGCCCATCTGTTCTGGGGCTTTCCAGGTCAGTGTGAATGAGTTTTCACTCACTTCTTCCACGGCCAAGGACAAGGGACAGCTGGGTGGCTCTGTAACAAACCCACAGTGGTGAGGACAGGGCTCGAGTACCAGGGCTTTTGGAGGGCAATCACTCAATCTCCAGGTCTGTCTTCAGTCCACCTAATCCCCAGCCCCATCCCACTGCAAAAATATCCTTGATGACTTCATCCCCCTGTCCCTTCTCCCGGGTACCTGCCCCTTCCAAGCCTTGCTTATGTCCCCTCCCCACTCCAGTGTTCCCCACTCACCTTCCTTTGGTTTCTCCACTTTAGGTTCAGGGGCTGGGGCCGGGGGTTCAGCTGGGAGATCTGGGGAACCTTCTGCAGGCACTGGAGTCGCTTCTGCTCCGGCTTCCGTGGGGACGGGAACAGGTTCATCTGTGGGGGCTGGGGGCTGCTCTGGGGGATGCTCAGGGGCTGGGGGCTCTTCAGTAGCTGGGGCTGGGGCTGCTGCTTCCTTCGAGGCTGCCTCTTCCTTCGGGGCTGCTTCTTCCTTCGGGGCTGCTGCTTCCTTCGGGGCTGCTGCTGTCTTTTTCTTCGCTGCTGCTGAAGCTGGCTTTTTGGCTGGAGGTGCAGTTTTGCCAGTCATCTCTGCAAAGCCAAGGGGATATTCTGGGGTCTCTGCTCTGGGGTATCTGCTTTGTTTTGGGGTTCCTGCTCCAGACAAAGGATTTCTTCTCTGGATCTGGGGTCTGGACACCAAGGTTGGGGTCCTGGCTCAGGACCAGGTGTCTCTACTCTGGACCAATGGTCTCTGCTCCGGGACGGCTGTGCTGGGAGGGGGGAACCAGGTCACTGAGCCAGAACAGGGGCTGGGTGACTTTTATAGGCTTTGGCTGGCACTTGTCACCTCCCTGCAAACCAATCTGCCTGTGCAGGCGGGACCGCCAGGAATAGCCACCCGGGACCTGCACATTCAGCAGCCCCAGCTGCCCCCTCCTATGGGATGGCAGCACACGGGCCCGGCCCCCCCAGCGGCCCCCCTGGGCTCACTCAGGAGTGGGTAGGCCAGGGCCAGGTCACCTTTCTTTGGGGACATGGCTCCTGTCCCCAGCAGCAGCACCCCTCTGGCTAAGAGCTCCCCACCCCCACTGCCACCTCCCCAAGCACCCACTGCCTCCCGGTCCCCACAGACTCTCCCTGGACCCCTTGCCTTCCTTTTCCCCAGCATTAACACCAGACCCCCACCCCAGCCTCCCCTGTTAATCCTGCATTGACCCCCCAACTCACCTGCTCCCCCTCATGTCTTCCCACACCTCCACTTCCCACCTTCCAGACCCCTCTGGTCCCTCTGTCCTTCCTCAGCCTCATACTCAATCCCACTGGGTTGGAAGAGGTTGGAAGACAATCTTTGGGCTCATCTGGACCAACCCAGCTGCCCATACCCAGAAACTACATTTCTGAGAAACACAAATCACCAGCCCCATGCTGAGTTCTCCAGCCTCTGTTCTTCCTTGTCCAAGGAGACTGCTCACCCCAGAACTCGTGACCAGCCATCCTACTGTTACCCCCAAACTCAGATTCACCCCAAACGACCCAGAAAAGCCCCATTAATCCTGTGGGTCATAAACCACTCACCCCGTGCTTGCTCCTGTTCCCTCACTTGCCCTCATGCTGGCTTTAGACACTACTGGAAGTGTTTCTGTACCCATAACCTTGCTGAGTTTGGGTTGAGTGTTTTCCCCATTTCCCATCCCTGTCTATGGAGCAGCCAAGCAAGCCTGGATCTCCTGGCTGCTGGTCCACAGGCTCACAGTTCTGTGGCCCTCAGGAAACCCCTCCAGGTGTGGACATCAGGGTCAGGAGGCATCTCTGAGACAGACAGAGCATGAGGCACATTCTCTGCCAGGGCCAGATGATCCCAGAAGATCTCGTTTCCTAACAAGGGGCTGGTTTTCCAGGTAGGGGGAGCTTGGGTAGGGTCACCCAAGACTGGGAGGGAGAGAAGAAAGAGCAAAACCCCATTGGCCAGGCTGGTCTTTAAATGATGGTGACATCCCAAGAAAGAGCCTGAGGGGGGCACCCCAGCATGAGCAGCATGACCCCCCTGTTCCAGGAGGGAGATTTTTTCTCTCCTGGTTATTTGGCAGCAGGACAAAGCCAGGATACCACAAGATGATGTTGGTGCCTCAGGAGGGTCTGTTTGCCGGTTTGTGTGATAACCCAGATGTTCCTTGATTGCTTCCCCAGTGAGAAGGAATATGACTAATAAAATTCTGCCTTACCCAAAATACCCATAGAATGCCTGAGGGATGAGCTCCTTGAGGCAGGAGAGAGTGCTGTGGGGCTCCCAGGCATTTCTGCTGCCTGCATGGATGGGTACTGGCAGCTCCTTCCCTGCCCAGAGCACCTTGGAGTGGCTGAAAATTGCCAAGTCAGTCATGAACCAGAAAATTCCCTACAGCTGCTCTAGCCAGAGAAAGGACAAGGAAGGGCTGGGGAGGATCATCCATCCATCCTGCTCCAGCTGTCTTTGGCTCCCTGAGGCAAACTGGAGAAGCTCTGGTTTCTCCATGTCTTGGCACACCAGGATTTCATCCTGCCTTCGATGACCTCGGCCCCTCCTTGACTCCTTCACTTGACCCCTCCACACAGGTCATGCCTTGATGACTCTCCAGCAGCTCACAGGTGGCCAGTTCCAGATTCCCACAAACATCTGCTCAGGCATCTTCCCTGTGTCTTAATCTGAACAAAAAACCCCCACTTCATTGCAAAAAAATGGGCTTGTTTTGATTAAATGTTTAGAGAAGCAATTTAAAGAGCTCAAAAAGAAAAATAAATCAATACCAAAACTCCAGTTCAGAGCAAAATGGACACTCAGATTTCTCTCTGATTTCAATTTGGGGAAGCGTAGCTGAAAATCAAATACTTTCCTGAGGAAACAAAAAAGAACATTAAAGCAATAATTTCACCTGAAGTTCTCAATTTGAAGGGAACTTGGGTCTGTGAACCTGCTCCATGACTTTTGGATGCTTTTGCTCTGCTGACTCAGGGGGTGACTAATGGGTTACAAGCAAATGAATCAACGTGGTTTATCACCCACTCTTATTGGGCCACATGACTAGAGTTTATTGGCATCTTGTTTATTCACACGTTGGGCCAGCACTGGCTGTTGAGCAAAGCCCAGCAGGGAAACACCGAGGAGCTGCTGCTGTTGGTGGCAAAGGCAGCACAGGAGGGTGTCCCAGTTCCGAGTTAAAGGTTTCCCACCAGCTCCAGGAGCAAGAGTCGGCATTTCCTTGCCCACCATGATGGCTTCACCCCTGGATAACAGGGACAGAGGAGCTGCTGCCAGGAGGTGATTTCACCACCCAGGACAGGAGTGGTCTGTGCCAGCCCCCAGCTTTGGGTGAGGGAGCTCAAATTAGTCTGGTGATAGAAATGAAAATCACACCGAGGGGGCTGTTCCTGCAGGCAGCTGAGATGGTTGAATATTAAAATTGTAATGATAATTTAAATATCAGCACATTTTTGCCTGAAACTGTAAGTATTTCAAGATTTAGCTGAAATAGAGGTTATCCATGTTTTCCAGTGAGAAAAAAATCTCATACAAAAAGCTGGTACTTTTATAAATTGGTACTTTTATAAATTGGTTTTGACCCACATTTCCAGCCCACCGAGTCACTGAAACATTTCCTTACTTATTTTCCAAGTGAGTGTAGCTCTAAATTAGGGGACGATCATTTATGCCTGGAAGGATCAGATCCTCCTCACGCCACTGTTATATTCCAGCTCCCCCTGATGATGCAGCACAGTGGTTGATCCTTTTCCAGATCTGTGTTTGGTTCCACAGGATCCCATTGCAAAGCTGTGAATTTGTTTCCCCAAAACACCAGATCAGCCCTTCCAGCCAAACTCCCAGTTCAGGAAACCAGAGCCAGGTGGAATGGGGGAAACCTGGGGAATGCCTTCCCCACCATGGCAGCTGACGTGTCAGGGCAGGGAGATGGAAGATGCCTCCAACAGCTGGGGCAAATCCTGGAGGCTTCCAGAGATTAGGACCAGCCCCTAAACAGGGCTCCAAGATTAGACAGGAGGTGGTGAGACCTTCCCACTTCATAAAGCAAAGTGCAGATGCCAAAGGCCTGGAATAAACATGGAGCTCATGTCATCAGGGTGAGAAGGACTCCCTGAAGCTTCCACATCCCCTGCGCTCATCCCCTCTTATCCTGTCCTCAGGAACATCTCTGGAGATCCTGGTGGGCTCTTTGCACCCCAGCAGGACTGAGACAGCAGGAGGTGGATGTCACTCCTGGGCCACCACAGGCTCTAGGCATGGTGCCATCTGCTCCTTGGCACAGCCATGGGTTTGGCCAGGGCAGAGGACAGAGTGCCAGGGGATCAGCGTGGGTGTCAAGGACAGTCACCCACAGGCTGTATCAGGGGACACCCAGGACTCGGGGTCCCCACTGCCAACCCCAGTGAGATAAATTCAAAGCCACCCAACATAAAGAGAAGGAACCATCCCCAGGTCCCTTTGACCCCACCCTGCACACATGGTGTGGACTGTGAGGCTGTGGGAGACATCACACAAGGCCAGAAAAAATGCCCAAGTCCCCTGAATTTCAGCAGAAAGGAGGTGCCCAAGCCCCTCAGGGGTGCTATTGCTGGTGGTAACTGGAGCTGATTCCTGTGTGGGTCTGTGCCCTCCTTTCACCTGCTGTTGACCTGTCCCCTTTCCAGGGTTAACTCAGATCTCCAGAAAAGCAGGAAGCTCATCTGGAAAGCACACAGTGATCAACCACAAACACCAGCAGGGTGTTCAGGTGGGCAGGCTCAGTGCCCTACCTACCCCCTCCCATCCTGGCTCCAGCCTTGTCTTCCCACAGCATTTCCAGCCTTGCTGTCACTGTGATATTCACAGAGCATTGACTCAAGCAGCCGGGGCAGGCAGCAGGTGGACTGGGACCAGGCAAGATTTCCATTTGTCTGTCACACACAAGTGGACACTTACTTCATCCCAAAGCAATGACTGCAGGCAGGGGCTCCAGGCCTGAGCTGGGAACGGCCCCAGGTCCCCTCCCAAAGCCCCCCAGGAAAAGCCCTGTTCAGGTGTCACCCTGGGACAGGAGTTTTAAGCAAGCATTGCTTTAAAATATCCTTGCCTAGTCTAGAAAACACAACCAGGTAAAGAAACATCAACAGGAGCATCTCTGAGGTGCTGAGGGGCATCTCTTGCCTGGTGGACATCCCTTGGTGGGCACTGGTACAGGGTTCTAGCAGCCACAGGCCCCAGAGTTGTCCCCGTTGCTGAATGTAACCCAGTTCACCCCAGCAGCACCAGTTTGATCCACTGACTCTCCAGCAACCCTTTCTTCAGGGAAAAGTTCTCCAGCCCTGACACAAGCTGCCCAGGGCAGTGGGGGAGCCCCCAGCCCTGGAAGGATTTTAAAGCCACGTGGATGTGGCAGCTGAGGACGTGGGTTAGTGGTGGCCCTGGCAGTGCTGGGTTAAGGGTTAGACTCTGTGATCTTAAGGGTCTTTTCCAACCTAATTGATTGTCTAATTTCATGATCAGTCAGGGTTCAGTCACCTCCAGGTCTCCCAGCATCAGCCCAGGGAGCAGAAGGGTGGGTGCACAGACCTGCACTCTCCCTGCTGGGATCAGGATCTGCCAGATGCAGGCAGGGGATGCAAACACCCAGAACCAACTTCTGGGCTGTTATTTTGGGGTTGTAATGGGATCACTCTCCTCCAAGATGGAAGGGGTAAAAAAAATAGGAAAACCCATGCAGAGATGTCCTGATTTTACCCAGTGACTTGCTGGGAGCTGAGCCAGAGAGTTCCACGTTCCCTCCAGCCTGTGACAGCACTGCGGTGGAAAAACCATCACAGAGAGGCATCAGCTGCTGCCCACAGCCAGAATGATTTCCCCAAGGCCACCTGTGGGGCCACCACAATTACAGTCACAGTGTGAGGGGACAGCACAGCCCCAGCAGGAGCTGCAGGGCAGGAGCTGCAGGGCAGGAGCTGCAGGGCAGGAGCTGCAGGGCAGGAGCTGCAGCAGCTGCACCCAGGGCCAGCTGGGTCTGAGCGTGCCGGGCCAGCAGGAACCCTCACCTTGGCACCTTGGCACCTTGGCACCTTGGCAGCTGTCACCAGCTGTGTGCCCAGGAGCAGTGCCTGTCCTGGGACCCTGCTCTGCCTGCTGGGGGTTTTTTTGCAGCCCTGCCCAACTTCTGGAGCTGCCAGCAGGAGCTCACCTAGGATGGAGAGCCCAGGGACAGGGCTGTGTCAGCCCCACTCTCTTCAGTCTGCCCAGAGCCGCCTCCACCAGGGCTTGGGGATGGCAGCTGGAGATGCCAATAAAGCTCTGTTACCACCTGCCCTGGCTGGCCCTGCTCTGTAGCAGGGAGAAGCTGCAATTAGCAGCTCAAGTTTTCCTTCTTCATTAAAACCAGGAGCTCAGGAAGGCCTGAAGGGTTTCAAAGCCCCTTTGCTGGTTTATTCTGAACATTTGCACCCAGGGTCCAGAGCCACACCAGCTGCTTCTGTCTCCTGAGGAAGGAGCTGGGGGGCTCTGCAGGAGAAGGGGGAGGGAACAGCTCAGCCCCAGGCTCCACCAGCACCGAGGGTGAATTTCAGTATGGATTAGGACCAGCAGAGAACCTCAGTGTTTGCTCTGCACAAGGGCAAGGCTTCTCAGGGCCTGCTTTGCTCATCTCCTCGCCTGCAGGCACTGCCAGTCCCCAGACCAGGCACTGCCAGTCCCCAGGAGGGTGTCCAGCTCTGCCCTAAGGACTTGGAGGGGCAGAAACCCCTGCCAGGGTGCACCAGGACACTGGCCAGTAACAGCCAGGGTTAGACACTCCAGGTCTCATTTGACTTTCAGCATCCCCTTCATCAAGGACTTAAGGCCACCTTGAGTGTCTTCAAGGCCTCCTGTAGGACCAACATTGGTATTTCCACCTCCCATTCCAGCACTTCCCATATTTTCTTACATCCAACCCCTCCTTTCCTTACTTTACCTGCGTTCACTGGCACCTTCATCCTCCCTGTGCTCTTCCCATCCCTCCTCCCCCCTGCTCCCTTCAGCCCCCTCCCAGTCCCTGCAGGGCTCTGCCAGCTCCATCCTGGGGGATCCCTGTTCAGCTGGAGCAGGTAGGACCAGCAGGATGTCCTGCAGCCACCCCTGTCCCAGCCCAGGGGACACTGGTGGTGCTGGGAACAGCCACATTCCACATGGCACTGTGACATCCCAAGGAAGCCCTTGTGGCCAGTGTGGTGGTGGCCACAAGGGCTGCCTCCACCTTGCCATGTCCAGAGTGTTTGGTAAGGGCTGTCCCTTCCCAGGATTCTTGGAAGCAAATGGGATCTGCTCTCTTGTTGGGACAGCACGTCCTGGGGTCATCCCACCACCCTCTCTAACCCAAACACCTTTATCCACAACTTCCCCACTGTGTCCCCCTCCCTGGAGAGTTTGCTGGGTCAGGGGGGCTGTGAGAGGGTCTGGAGAATCCCTAGGTCCCAGTGACTTGTGCCAGGTCCTGGTGAACCAGTTTAGGTTGCCCAGCTGCATCCTTTCCCTGCTGCCACCAGGGAGCATCGTGGGAACACCCAACCCAGCTGGCCCCGTGCTGCTCCCACCACACCAGAGTTCACCCCCAGACAGGGAAATCCTCCCACTCGAGCTCTGGGAATGCCTGGTCCTTGGAGTCCCTGAGCCGGCTGTGGTGTCCTCAGAGGCAGCTGCAGCCCAGCCCTTTTCCAGAGGCTTGAGTGTCACGGTCAGGGCACCCAGGAGCTGCTCCCTGTCCTGTCCCTGTTCAGCACAGCATCACAGCTCCATGCCATCCCTGGGGGAGCATCTCCTAAGAACATCTCCAGGGCATCTGGGCCAAGACAAGGTGCTCAGAGAACAAGAAGGGGTTGAACTCTTGATCCCAAACCTGCAGAGAAACAGCCATGGAAGATGCTCCAATCCCATCCTCCTTGTCATGAGCAAGTCAGTGCCAAAGGGACAGTTGGATATTTGCAGGGAAAGGCCAAAACCTCCAGCTGGACATAACCAAGGACAGTGAGAGTCAGGGATGAGGCTGGAGGTGGCTTTGGCTCTTAACTCCTGGGGGCTAGGAGGTGGCAGAGATCCCAAGGGATCCAAAGACAACAGGAAGAGGTGGGGAATCTTCTGCCTCCCAAGTGCTGACTCTTAAGAAGGATGAGGAATTCTCAGTCACACAGAATCTGAGAGCACCCCTGGGAGAAGGGCCTGGGGTGCTGGTGCTCAGTGTGCCCCAGCTGTGTGAGCTGGGTCTCAGAAACCCCCTGAGCCAGCTGGGCTGATCCCCCAGCATGGGCAGCAGGGCAGGGGGGATTCTGCCCCTGTGCCCCATTCAGGTGAGACCCCACCTGCAGAGCTGCCTCCAGCCCTGGGCTTCCAGCACAGGAAGGACGTGGAGCTGCTGGAGCGAGTCCAGGGGAGGCCACGGAGCTGCTCCGAGGGCTGGAGCCCCTCTGCTCTGGAGCCAGGCTGGGAGAGTTGGGGGTGTTCACCTGGAAAAGGTTCTGGGGAGAACCTTAGAACCCCTTCCAGTGCCTGAAGGGGCTCCAGGAGAGCTGGAGAGGGACTGGGGACAAGGGTCTGGAATGACAGAACAAGAGAGAATGGCTTCAAACTGCCAGAGGGCAGGGATAGATGGGATATTGGGAAGAAATTCTCCCTTGTGAGGGTGGTGAGCCCCAGCACAGGGTGCCCAGAGCAGCTGTGGCTGCCCCTGGATCCCTGGCAGTGTCCAAGGCCAGGTTGGATGGGGCTTGGAGCAAGCTGGAACAGTGGAAGGTGTCCTTGCCCATGGCAGGGAATGGGAATGGGATGAGCTTTGAGGTCCCTTCCAACACAAACCAGTCTGGGATTCCATGGCACAGTGAGCTGGATGCAGGGACCCACCCCTTGCTCTGTGACACATCTGACACCCTGAGGGAGCCCATCTTTTCTGCAGGCTGGAAATGCCCCAGGATCTCACTGGGCAATGGTGACCATCACTCCTGCCCAGCACCTGTAAAGTCCTTGGGATCTCTTGGGGTGCTCAAATGTTGCAGGAATGCTGAACGACATGCAAAGCTGTTGCCTGCTCTGGCTGGCACTGAAGGTGAGAAGCTGATTTATTTTCATAACCTGCAAAGCCCTGGGGAGGTGGACATGGCCAGGCTGGGCACCAGGGATGGCTCTTTTCTCTCCCTGGTGCTGTGTAAATCATTGTGACTCTCCAAAAGTTCACATCTTCCCACGGGCCATGAGCCCATCTTGTCCCACCACCTGCACAAGGAGAAACACCTGTGCTGGTCCCTTTTTTCTTGTGGGGTGCAGGAGAAGCTGTGCTGTCTTTTTGCACCCCCAGCACAGCCAGCAGGAGGGATGGGGACAAGGAGGGAGCTGCCAGGACCAGTTATCTGATCCCAGCAGCTCCAGTGTAAACTTAGCATGGCCTTTTGGAAAGTACTTGCTGTGGCGAAACACGCAGTAAATCACTGCTCCGAGTGCCAACAATATTTTGAGATTAGCAAATCTTAAAGCTCACTTTGGGGTCGTGGGTTGGAGCCCTGCCAGTGTAACTGGGGGGGTCTTCCTCACCTCACACCCTCCAGCTCCCAGGGCTTGCACCAAGCTGCAAATCCTTGCTTTTTGAAGGAGATGGGATAAGGTCTGGGATCAGCCTGGGATCAGTGTGAGGTCCTGCAGCCCTCTCCTGTGGGTTCTCATCCTGTGCTCACAAGGAGCAGGACTGACCCTCTGATTTCTTTGCCTTTTCCTTTCCAGACTACCTTGGAAATTCCCCAATTTCCTCCCTTATTTTATCAAACAAACCCAGCCCTGACTCCACAGCATCATCCTGTGCTCCCTGGGACAAGTCACCATGACCTCCAGCACAGTCACCCCTCTCTCCCCACTGCCCCCAGTGTCCCCAGCACCCCAGAGCTGGGCTCTCCACACTGCTCCAGGGGAAGGACTGCCAGGATTTAAAAGTCACCCAGGAGCTGCAGCCCTGGTGCTTCCAGACTTCTCACAAGTTTCCCAAGCTCAGCTGAGGGCTCATTCAGCCTGTGACACAAAGGGAAGGGAGAAGCCCTGGGAAATGAGGAGGAAAAGGGACATCAGTCCCTGGGAGCCCCAACCAGGTGCATTCTAATGGCAAATCACCACAGGGATCATCCTGCAGGAGATTGACCCCTGAAGCCTTCCCAAGGACAAAACATCCTGGGGATGGCATTTCAACCCAGCATAAATCCCTGGGTCATCACTGGAGGTCCTAGGGAAAATCCCAGGCTACACCTCAGAGTTCTGTGGCTCGACCCTTTCCAGGCCATGTCATAGTTTGGATGCAGCTGTGTCAAGAATGCCAAAAGATTCCAATTTCCAGGAGGAAACCACTCCATCCAGAGCAGTATTCCATCAAAGTTCTGGAGGAATGTGGGACTGAAACCCCGCTTGCTGCAGTTCTTCTGTCCGTGCTGTTTGAGTGAACACCCTGATTTATTTCAGCCTTGGAGCTCTTGTCACTGAGTTCTCAAAAAGATTTGTATTGGCCACAGAAGGTCATTCCTGCTTGTATCAAAGAGAGCAGAAGAAGTTGCTTGTCAGAAGAACATTGTCAGTGTAGCTGAGCTCCTGTTCCCTGTGGAAATATTACAAAATAAAAAGCTCCCAAGGTCAAGTGCAACAGCAACATAACTGATATTAAAAATAATGTTCCTGTTTATTGGCATTGTGGTACAGCTCCCACCTGCAATGCTGTATGGAACTGTCCTCAGAGTGCAGGGAAAATAATTCAGCAAAAGCAGCATGGAGCTGTGTCAGGGAAGGATTAGCTTTGGAAGGACTGAAACCAGGGAAAGGTTCTTCCCCCTGAGGGTGCTGGCACTGCCCAGGCTCCCCAGGGAATGGGCACAGCCCCAAGGCTGCCAGAGCTCCAGGAGTGTTTGGACAAGGCTCTCAGGGGTGCACAGGCTGGGATTGTTG